AGGATACGCAGAGGCATTCTCTGGTGCTTGTTGAGTACTTCCATTCTCAGAGATGCGGTCGAGGGGATGTCGAGTTGAGTCATTGTGGGGTTTACAGTGATGATATTGGAGGCTTATTAAGAAGGGTTACTCGGTCAGGGACCGAGGGAAAGGTACGGGATAGCTAGGGGTTTAAGGCCTGGGAGGACAAAGACGAAGCTGTCGCGATACTGAATGTTTACATTGAGCGTCGTAAGTCGGGTCCGAGCGGACCTATCCAATGAGGTCATCACGTGGGGATACGTGCTGCGATAGGCATGGCGTCTACAGATACTCCGTATTTACCCCAGATTTGATGCCGCAGGGGTCCACAGCCACCAACTCTTCTGTCACTGATATTAAGCTTGGTGCGTTGATGTTTTCAAACCACGGCCATAGTCTGGCCTCCCTTTTTTTTTTTTTTTTTTTTACCACCTGAAGTTCTATATCATTCTTCTTCGATTTGCAACCTTTCATCAGCCAATGCCTCTCCTTTCTGTGGCTAAATCGGACTTGCTAATGGAGATTGGAGGACTGCACTCCATAAAAGGAAAATCATCAAGTGCACTCAGGGTTATACAATTACAAGATTTTTTTTAGCATGCCTGGTTCTATCGAATCTCAAGGGGAATTCGGCGTGGGTCACCGTAAATCGGACAACACGCGAGTGCTGTTCGGGGAGCATGAGACTATCGTTTTCCCCCATTATGTATATTAGGTTGTTCGCGTATAGGTAACCTTGTGTCAAATCTCAATGGTATCAGCAAAGTGTCACAGTAATACAGTGACATTTAACCAGGCGCTTCCAATATTGTGCCCTCATTCCACTTGACCTCGGTGTCAAATACTTGAAAGGAACGACGATTGATGTACGAATCATGGCCGATGGTACAAAAGCAACCTTCATGCAAAAGGTCTTCAAAAGCTTCTCGAAAATGTACCCAAATCATCTGGCCATATCGCGGTAGCCAATTTTATTGTATAGGTAGTAATTCTTAACCTGGGGAGAAGCTATCTTGTAAGGCTAGCCTTGTCAGACGAATCATTGGTAGCATCACTATCATTTTTATTGTGTCCTATTATTTACTATTCGGCATGTCTGCTTCATAAGGCACATACAAAACTCAGCATTGTGATCTTATAATACAAGAAGATCTGTCTATAACTATTGCATAGGACTTACGATAATCACTTAAGCTCGATGACCTACCATTGTCTTGAAGATCACCACCCTATACTAACCTCGTGGGCTTTGGCTTCATCGCGATCATGGCACAGGAACTCCATGACCACATCTTAACAGTTCATCATACTAATATGGCCACTAGATAGCCATTTTCTCAGAACTTGTAGCCTTTGATCTAGTTGTAAATAAAACAATTGCGAGATGCCTATGATATTACACTTATCCTTACTCTTATTCTACAGAACTTATGCTGCCAGTAAGAGACAAACGTCATTATCCAGCCTGGTTCAATTGCGTTGTTTGTACTCATAGTAATTACTGACTTATACAAATTCTGATATCCTTCACTCTTCTGGTTTAAATGATGCCATGCCTCATCATTCTATGATTCGAATAACCTGACATGTCAAATTGCTATAGTTCAGTAGTTTAGAGTCTCACGCCACATGATTAAGAATGAACTGGATGTAGTGTTGAACTAATTCAAGCATATTTGAAAAGGTGGCATACAGATTTCCTGGCGATGATCAATCGTTGATCCTTAGTTTGCTCCGTCTTGGCACGGCGAAGCGCCATCTTGTCCATGGCACACATTCATAGATTCTTAGTTTCACATATAAAGCTCACTTCGCTATTGATACCTCTGCTGCAAAGTGTAATCAGAGATAGGCTATAGGTACCCTCCTCTTTACCTAGGGCAAGACAAGGATTCAAGGATGTCAGTCATTGGTGGTTATTACATATAAGGGTTAGAGATTCCGCTTATAATGCCGTCGAATAGTTGTTCACAGAAAAAATATCTATAATATGCAGAGCTATTACACCAAAAAAGGGCAATATCGTAATGCTTAATGGTTTATCTAGCCTTAAGAAGCAGAACTGAAGGTGTTTAACCTGATGCAGTAGGGTATAGTCTTGCGATACAATTTCGGTCACAATCCCTACAAAGTTATACAAGCAGCATTCAGTTGAGATCTACCACTAAAACGGTAGCGAGTGGCTCGTTCAGAAACCATCGGAGCCAGCATAACTGGAGGTTTATCTCCCACCGTCACGAAAGAGCTGTCAATCGAGTCCTAATCCCAGTCCAAGCGCCAATGTCATAAACAAACACTACACAAAGGCAACCTACTGTTTTGAAATTATACTTCGATTACAATATCTCTTGTTTCAAGATAAAACTTGCAATAGAGACAGAATTATTATGGAAATGGCCCATAGCTCGAAGCCTTTATTTGCACATCGACGAACATATCGCCATAAAGGCGAATTACGGTCAGAGTCAGCTTTGTCACCACAAGGACCTGCAAGCTTATCTTCGCTTATGACATGGTCCAGACAGTAGCCAGTCATAATTGATAGACCTTGGTAATAAGTCAACTGCGGCTGAGATTAAGTGTGGCCTCCGAGAAATAGTGGATGATAACCCGGAGGGTTTGGGGTCTAGACCCATAATTGCGGCCCGTGGTCGGGGTCTTCAACCTGAAAAGGCATATTCTTCGGTGGGTGGGCGTTTAAACTATTGCTTCTAGTCAAAGTTTGCTTGCAAGTATGTTTTTAATTAGTTACGGGACGCATCGACGCCGTTCGGAACGGCACATGCCCACTTGAATCCAGGTCTAATGAGAACAGACAAGGTCCCATATTATCATGCCGGGCTGAACTTAAGTGATGATTCATGGCTTGGTACCATGTGGTCTCAAAACTGAAGAATCTACACAATAATGACGACCAAGTTTTGTAATGTTGCGAGAAGAATAGTGGGAGATAACCTCTTATCACCGTGTGTCTCTCAACTTGGAAGTGAAAAAAAAGGCGGGCCTAGGCCTGTTGGTGGCTGGAGGGCATGGGTGAGGTGATCATAAGACCAGGGAGGACCACCAGATTGGATCAAAGCAGGATTGGACATTGGAGAATTTGGGGGAGGCTAGAGAAGGCTAGAGAGGCTGGCTGGACTTTTGCTGATGGGACAATTAGAAATCCCTCTTTTCTTTCCGAGGCAGCCTACAGAGGACAGGCGCCCGCTCACCACACCCTTTTCTCACTCATGGCATCTCCGGACTTGCGTACTAATCCACGTAATCGTTGATGATCGTCGCAAGGGTCCAACATGAACATGGGGAACATGCCCGCAACTTGTGGCTGTAATTATTGATAACTTGAATCAATAGAGGCGGTCCTCGTTTTTGACTCATCACTCTCACCTCACACCGCGTATTACTTAACTCCGTCCTTGGCCGATGCACCCCGTGGCGGCGACGCCCGAGCTTTCAACTTGATTGCCCTGCAAGTCCATGGAAAAGAAAAGTTGGCAGTAAAACAGTAGAAAGCCCCGCGTGCTTGACACCCGACTCAAGCGTGATGGCCCAAATATGGAGTCTTTGCGGATACGCTATCCAAGCTGCAAGGCACCATGCACAACAGACAGGTCCGGCTGGCCTCAGTGCGATCGATCTTGCAGGAAATGCCCGATCGTGAATTTGAATCATTGTTAGTTCCTGGGGAGCTCAGCATGACTCCCTCGCCATAGTCCGGTAAGGCCGGTGGAGCTGAAAGAGACGTGAAGGCACAGTCAGATGAGATGAAATGGCCTAGTTGGTGGTGTCGACCATGTCTCACTTGATATAGCATTCTCCGGAGAGTGTCACCGCCCCCGCGACCGAGTTTGTCAAGGAAATACCATCGCAAATGTCCATTACCAAGCCAACCTCCATGTTCATGTGAGCAAATGAGATGCCATAATTCAGGCCGACTATGGAGGCATCTCACCATCCTTTTTGTTTCTGTCGATCACGGCAGATCGAGTTGGCTGCCCTTTGGTGGTTTTTACTGGCGGCTGCGGCGCTAGACCGTGGACCCTATGTGCATTTGAACCTGTTCATCACTACCAACTCGAGCCCGTGGCATCCAATGTTGTAGCCCAAAGAGCTGATTTATCGTCAGCCACCAACTTCTCTCAGCTCGTTTCTCTTGATTATCAACCCGCTAACTCAACCCATGACTTCCATTTCCAGACCCGGCGCCTCCCGATTATCCTATCGACGGGCCGCGTGGCGTCGTGCGCGCGAGACTCTACAGGTTCGTATTCATCTTGGCTGAATAGCTTCACGTGCGAAGATAGGCAGCCCCGCCTATTGGAGGCCGATGACCACCCATAGTGCTCGGAGTCCTCTGCCTACCACTCACAAGGCCCTCGGGGCTTACAAGAATTCCATGATATGACTGGGAGATGGTCCGCTTTTGGAGATACAGCCCTGTTTTGGGTGTGGGTTCTTGCAGCCCTTTCTTCCTTGGCCCTATTTCGATGCCTTGAAAGGTACCGCACGGCTGATGCCTGTGTCTCAGATATTATGTGTGCAGTAGGCTATGGATTGGAATGTGAGCTCGTGGGGAGGCTTGTTTATCTGCCTGACTGACTGCTATATAGTTGAGGCGTGCTCGCCCGTTCATTGTAATGCCTCTCTGAGTCCTATACCGCCGGCTTTCTTCGTGTTCTGTTCAGTCCTCTCACACAAAGCACAAAGAAACTCTTCTGCCTGCGGTGAGTGACTCCAAAGGGTCTTCCATGGAAAAGACGTCAGGGCATCCACTTCCCAGCCTTAAGACAATCGGTCTTTGTTTCGCCTGGTTCATACCTGTTTTTAACACCAAATCGCGGTGAAGCTTTCTAGCACCCACCCACTTCACTTACAAAGAGGTCACTGCGTACATATATACCTCGCAGGCCTCAGTAGACCCTTTGATCAAATCAACTTTACTTCACTTAACTCGAAATTCTTTCTTACGAATCTCCACTATGCCGACCGAGTCTGAGATGCGGTCTCGTCGAGACTCTTGGCCACCTACCCAGATGCGCCTCAAGCCTACCCTCTCTACCAAGAACCGACCACTTCCATCTCTTGATGATATCGATGATGACCCTCTTACCTACTTTCTTACACCAGCTCCTCTTCTTGACGACGATGATATGGACGACGTCTTGCTAGACTTTGATGCTGGTATTGAGGATGCCAGTTCTCCTCGACCCTTTGTCCGGAGTGTAAGTCCATCAACACTCGATGGACTCCGCAAGCCTGGTCTACGTCCCATGTCACCTGATACCAGCTCTGAGATCTCAGAGTCCAACAACGAGGATGATTATGATGACGATGATGAGGACTATGTCAGCTTCTCACCCAGCAAGCATGGAGGACTCCTCTCTCTTAGGGACCTCTTTGCCAATAGCCGACCACCAGTCCGATCCAAGAGCCCTGCTTTCAACCAGTCGACCAATAACTCTCTCCTCTCACCTACTGCCCTCTCGAGCAGCCCAAAGCTACGTGGTCGATCCAGGGGACGTGGACGCCACGGAGCCAGCTCTCGAGGGCAATCAGCAACACGCCGCCCAGGACAACTATGGCGGGAACCAAGCCCCGATGTGTGGTCTATTGAGGAAGAGACGGAGGAGGAGATGATGAGTGAGGTTGGAAGCAGTGTTGGTGCCCGCAGTGACACCAGCGATGATGAGGATGAGAGTAAGAGGCGAAAGGGGAAGAAGGCCAAGTCGAACAAGAAGGTTCGCTTCGTCTTGCCTGCTGAGGAAGTCTAAGGGGGGTTGGATGGATACTGCATAACTCGGCGTTCAGGTCTGCATCTCTTTCATATTGATTTCTTATAGCATCACCGGGGGTTGCATCTGCATAGGTGGCGTTGGCTAGCATGGAGGGAGTGGTGGATCAAGAGTAATAATGGCTGGTCCAAGGAGGATACCTATCTTTCTGGCTTGCACTTATCGGGTGCATTCTTTGGAGGAACATTGAAGCTGGGACACATAGCTGGCAGGCATTTTGCATACCATAGTTACATTTCTTGAGGAGCAATCCGCTTTCGATACCTATTTGGATTTGGAGGATCTCGCGATAAATTGACTTTAGTTTGAACAAACGATTTTCCTTTTAGTTTCTTTGAACTTACAGTGGCTCGTGATACAGAGCGTCCGACCTTGTGAGACAAAGACTGGTGATCAACGGTAAGCGTGCTGGCCTCGTGACTTGACTGCTGATTGTGTCGTCTAGGAAGACTAAGGACGTAGCCTCCCGTCTGAAAGAGTCACCAGGTACAACACTAGGGAAATAGTACGCTCAAATGGAATAAGAAAGGCCATCAGTGGCAAGTCAAGTCTAATTAAAAACCCATACCAAGAACTTCCTTGGTCCTCCTTAGAGACATGGTGGTGACTACAAAGAGGTCGAATCATCTGGGGCTAACCTCTGAAGATACTGTACTCAAAAAGATGTCCTGATGCCCATCCAACCAAAAGACATGTACACTAAAGTTCTCTCGGAAGTTTGCTCGCCACAAGTCAGTAGGCAATACTGTTGTTGAGTGTTTGGATCTTTGTCCCTCAGGGTAATCTAAACGTGGCACACTGCTAGTTTTCCTCGATTGATACCGAACTATTTTAGACGTATGAAAAGGTTATGCGAAGTAGATTAAGGCAAGTTTCGGCCTTTCCCAGACCTTCAGGATAATGTACCCAGAGATTCATTCTGTTTTGGCATTGGTAGTCGATGAAACTAGCAAATATTCTCGTCACTGTGACATATGGACCAGGACTTAACTCAATCTCCACACATGATTCGACTAAATGTGCCCTTTAGTAGCCATAGAAACTGGTACAGCTTGGGTCTCGAGAAGATAATATAAATATGATATTACTATGTACTGTGATTCCGGACAGACACGCCGGGATTCCGATATTCATCCCTCTTTGTGTGATTGTTCATGTCGCTTCACACAACGTGACCACACAAATGCGTAGATCATTCGCTTATATGCTTTCTATAGATTAACCAACCTATTAGCATGCTGCGACGGTAGTTTTCAATTTTAATTTAGATTAATCTATACGTTTTCGACGATATTCTTACCCCAATTGCATTTGATACAGGGTAAGTATCCCATGGCCCGTAGCGAGAGAACAGCCTGGCTACCATCGCGGGAGGGGGGCGTTTTTAGACATCTGTCAGAGAGAGGAAAGAGTGTCTAAGTTATTTTATCACCCTCAACACTCTGCTGCATAAGGCTGACATGATATTATCAGCCGAAAATAACCGGGACAGCTTTTTCTGTCCACTAACCGATGTCCAAAAACACCCCTCTCCCGCGATGGTACATGGCAAAGTTATCCACGGCTTTCAGGCTCGTACAACTTAGCCCTTCCGCTGAAGGGATAGGAAACAGCAGCTTAGACAGTCTTGGGGTTGACTAAGCCAACATCTAGACCAGGTTCTTGGAACAACAACTGTCTATGGAAGCTGAAAATCATCGACAAGGTATGCGGGACCGTGAACGTTGAGATCTCGGCACGGTATTCCAGCGCCACGATTCCATAGAGTTCCAGGGTCAGTCGTGAAACATCAATCGTTGATACCGAATATTGCGGGTCGATAAAGAGCGGTATACGAGGGTACTTGGCAAACAATCAAGGGCTCATGCTCTTCGCTTGCAAGCACGGGCGCAATCCTTGTTTTGTTTATTACTGGGCAGAGAGTAGCGAACCAGAACAGATCAGATTCAAGGATGGATGGATGCCCAACGACATACATAAGCAGGCTTGCCGCGTGTAACTGGGCTTGTCCGCAGTCACGAAAAGTCTAAATGCATAAAAAACTTGGATGTTCGATACTGGCTTCAAGTCAATGGCTGAAACACACATGGCTGCAGCAGAAACCCATATTGGATGGCCTGCCTTTTGTTCTCGCTTGGGTGGTTGTCGTCAGCAACGAATACAAGGCCGGACGGCGCATTGATACTAGCAGGTGTTTGGCCAAGAGAATGGAGGGTCACCCATGTCGACGTTGTGTTGTCCATTCTTGATATGCGTAATATGGTGGTAACGCAGCAGTCTTGAGTCATCATCTATGGGATTCCAGATCTCGATATGCTGTCCAGCAGTCTGGGTGTAGTTACATGCTTGGCTGGCAAAAGCAAAGACGAGGGGATAAATATAGAAGCATGAGACATCTCAACTCACAAAAAAGAAGCTTATCGAAGATCTTTCCACGTCGAGTCAGGAAAAGCGGCAGTCGGTTGGAGAAAATTGGCCGAGATACAGTAGCACCGGGAGATCGGGTTCAGCCAGGCTCGGGAGGCTTGGACTTTGTTACAGTGGGCTTGATTGACTCTGAAGAGGAGCTAGCCTATCACGCAACAGCCACCCGCCATATCCCACTCATCTGCAGCCATGGCCTTAAATGATTGACCCACTAAAGCCCTGGAAGTGTCCCCTGTCAGTCGCGCGCCACATCCCTTTATCCCTGACCCTGATAGGTGGGATGGTCTCAGATGTTGTTTACACTGAGCTCTAGTGTGGATCCCATTTGGTTGGTTACTGGGACACCCGCACCTCAATAATGACCAAGTCCAAGGTCAACGACGCAACCTCCAAAAGGTCCCTCAAACGGCTTGAGACGTAGATGGCACAACAATCTTAATCTTGCGGTGCGTTTCGCTTTTGGAGAACCCTCCACTTCCTATCATTTACACGAGGCTTTTGCCATTGTCTTTGTAATCACAAACCTCTTCGTTCTCCAACATTTCGTTCGCCCACCATCCAATTCATTCGTTCGTTCTTCTTGTTCAGTTGCATGTGCAACTCCAACGGCTACTCCGCCCTCCCGCTGCTTCTCCAAAGCTTCCTGCAAAGCTTCCCGGACGGTCCGATAGCACATTTCAACGACGCATAATCCATTCGAACGGTAAATTGTCGCCAGCCATCAAGAGAGCGAGTTCGGCCTCGACTGGGACCCCACCGCTTCTCTGCTACTACAGCTGCACAGCATGTTACCGACCTTCAGGTATGAGTCTGACGTGCTCTCCCGTCTCCGGCGCATCGCACAATCATGTTTCCTCGCCCCAACTGGGTTGCGAAAATAAGCTCACCAATTTTGTCTTTTTAGGTAGCTGAGATCATGTCATCATCAAACCCCGCCTCTCCAGAGGAAGCAGTAGACGAAGCAGTGCTAGATCCTGAGCCCGAGCCCGAGACTCCTCTGAAGCCTTCCACACAAGACGAGAATGATGGAAAGGAAACGCCCAAGTCAGCGCCGCCAGTGGCACATCGTGGGCGACCACGTGCCAAGTCGACCAGAGAACCTACACTTCTCCATGACTTCCTCCTGGGCCGGCCCTCAGCCTCGCGACAGGCTGCCGAGCGTCAACGGCGAATGAGCTTGGAAGCAGTCAAGGCCGAATTGCGCCATGAAATGAAGCAGTCCCAAGTCAAGCGCATTCAACCCCCGAACGGTGTCCGAGATCGGGTCAAGAAATGGCAAAAGGCCAATGCTGCTGCTATGGAGAATACCCCTGACGACGCAGCGACAGAGCCCCCTGATATCGCGTTTGAAGAGGAGGAGTTCCAGAGTGTAACAGAGGAGGATCGAGTTCGCATCAAAATGAGAAAGAAACTCAAGCGACCCAGCAACAAGACCAAGGAAAGTCTGGCCACAGGAGATGAGGCTACACCTGATGAAACACCGACGACACCTACACCGGCGGCAGCGAAACCACCGCCTAAGAAACGTGTTGTTAGCGACGAACATTGGCGGAAAAATCGTAAACATATACCAAAGAAGACCTCGCCTGCCAAAACACCTGCTCCAGCCAAAATACCGAAAGATTTTGTTTTGCGCACCGCCGCTAATCCTCGCGTCGCAAGCAGAGTCAAAGCATGGGCGGAAATGGTCGAGATTCCAGATCCACCTGCACCCAGAAGTCATAAGTCTTCCAAGTCTGTCGGAGCGAAACCGTGGACGGATGACACCGACAGCGAGTTCATGAGCGACAGCGAATTTACAGTAAGCAATGTCACTAGCAGTCGGTTCCCAAAAGCGCGATCCGCCAAATCAACACCAGGACCCGATGATGGCATTCGCGTTAAACCAATCCGAAGGGGAAGGAATAATGATGATGGTATTCGTGTGAAAGCCGTCAGGACAACACTTACGGACGACGAAGGAATCAGAGTTAGACCTATGAGCGATATCTCGTCCAACGCCGGAACTTCAGTTCGCACGGCAAGACTGCGGCTCAAATCTGCTCCTAGCTCGCGGAGACCTAGTATGAGTTCCGTGAAACGGGAAATGAAGAAGTCGCAGTCAGATAAATCCAAGATCGAAGTCATCGAGGATGCTTCGGAGGTATCGACAAACAAGTTTATCGAGGTCATTGAGGATGACTCGGAACTATCTAAAACAACAAAGACAACCGACAAGTCAGGTTTATCTGGGACTGTACCAATTGAATTGGTGGAAGACGATTCGGCAATTGACACTCCTACCAAGAAGAGAAGCGTATCAGCACATAAGTCAAAACCTCGACCAAAGAGTTATCAGCCTCCCACGACAAAACAGAAGGGCAAAGAGACGTGGGTGCCCGAAGAAGAATCTGCAATGGAGCCTTCTCAACTCGACGGCTCAGATTTGTCTTCAAGTATTCTGGCAAAGTCAATAGCGGACATCCCTGGAGAAATCCCCTGGGGCAACTCTGCATTCACTGAACTTGATCTGCCTCTGCGAGCGCGTGGAGGACCTCTTCGAAGTCGACCCA